CGAGTCCCGCGGGCTTCTCTGGTGAGAGCAGCCAAGCGAAACCTGTAGCTTGGGAGGTGCCAAGGAAACAGGGAGCACCAGAGCAGCATCGGCTCTGCTGCACGTCATCCTCGAGTAGGTCCAAATGGTTGTTGTGCTGCAGCTTGCCTGGACACTCACAGAGCTCATGGCTGGGAGCAGGACTGTGGGATGTTCTCCCCGACTGGGTGAAGTGCCCGTGGCCTTGCTGGAAGGCCACAGTCAGAGATATTTTAGTGTGGAAAGCACCTTGGGGCAGTGGGGGCACTGGTAGGGGCTGGACAGATGAGGCAGTCTCAATAGCAATAGCCTGTCACACACACACCCCCCCGCCCCAGAGGTGGAGCCGAAGTTTGGTGAGTTATCAGGGAATGCTTTAGTTTAGTTCAGGTCTAAGTCAGAATGTTTCTGGACTTTGACCCCCAAGCTCAGCATCGTGTTCTCGCTTCTGGCTGAGTGTTGGCTGCTCCCAGCAGCTCTGATGACAGCCTCTTGGTTTATATTTTCTCTTCCAACAAAATATAATGCAGTTTTTCACTCTTAACTGTGTCCATGACAAGAGTAACAGTTCAAAAGGAAGGTGGTCACCGAGTTGCCCTCGTGTGTCTGGCCACTGTGCCAGGCAAAGGAAGGCAAGCTGTGGGCTGCCATGCTGGCTTGTGGGCCAGCTGCGGTGGGAGGGGGCCTTGGAAAATGGTCACAGCTGACTGTTGGGTGGGAGAGTTTCTGCTCAACCTCTCAATTTCTGCTTAGATCAGATTAGAAAAGGTTAAACCCCTTGCTGCAAAAAAAAAAAAAAAAAAAAAAAGGGAAGCTAAGTCTGAAGCTGTCAGTGTAAGGAGGAGTGTCTTTAGGGAAGAGAAACTGAATGCTTCTGCTTTTCCTGTTCTTGCAAGAGGAAAGAGTGCTTAATTTTTTAATTTTCAACACAAGTATACCTACACTCAGTGCCCCGTTTTTCTTCCAAGGCAGGGGCAGTTCTGGATACTGATTCTTTCCAATCTTGATTTGCTGTCCCAGAGAGTCACGGAAACAGCCTACCCTTCCTCATCCCTCCCCCTTGATTTCTGGGTGATCACCTCTGTCAGGCCATTAAGTGGTTTTTAGATAAATGCAGTTTTTGGTTTCATCATTGTGCTCTATGGAATAATACGAAACAGAGACTGTTGTGCTTCTTGTGTTATAGAACACAAGAACCTCTTCTAGTGAACAGGACACTCTCTAGGACTCAGTGTCTTTGGCTGCTTTTCATCTTTGTAATGTTCTTAATCAGCTGAGGCCTCCTTGAAGCATGCAGGACACCTCACACCTCTGAGAATACTGAGGGGTTTGGGAAGATTTCTCACTTACACGAGCTCTGCGCTGCCCATCAGTTCAGCTGCTTCTGAAGCCATGTGGGAAAACAGCAAAAAATTGATATTTTAAAGTCAGACTCTTTTCCTGACCCTCTTCATGCTGGGGGATGAAAGGATGTTGCTTCATCAAAGTTTGTGAACAGTGAGTGCCCTGGAATCCAGGCAGCTGCGGGAAGAATGTGGTGTGTGGTTTTGGCCTGCGTGTCCCTCCAGCCAGGAGCACCTTCTCTGTGCTTGGAAGTCTCCAGTGTCCCCAGGAAGGAGTGGGCAGAGGCTGCAGGCAATGGAAAAAGGAGGTGTGCTCCATTCTCTTCCTCACTCTCTCTGTGACTGTGCTCAATGAAGACATCCATGTCTCAGTCTGCTGCACGTAATGGGACAGTGTGAGAGAACCACTTTGGTTCCTGGGCTTTTATGGCTACCCAACAAAAGCATTTCTGCTTTGGGCCTGTCTAAAGTACACAGTAGCCAGAAAAATTGCTGGCTTATACAGGAAATGTTTCCCTTGCACTTAAAAAGATAAATTCAGGTTTGGGGTCTGATTTTGGGGGCAGGGTGGGCAGGGAGTTAATACAGAGGTAAGTTTGCCCATCAGTATCTTCTGGAGAACAAACTTCTGAAATAAAAAAAAACACCAACCCAAACAGCCCAAAGTCCAGAACAATGAAGAGTCAAGATACACATTGTTCCTTCCACCTCATTCTCTACTTTATGTCAGGCAGCCTTAATGACATTCTTCACGCTGCTGTTGAAGAGTGGTGTTTTCTGAGCCTTTTGCAGTAGATTTTACTCCTGCCTCTGCCATGTTTAATCACTTCTCCCTGTAAGATCGTCACACCAGTTCTTAGAGGAGCCTTTCCCCTTACCACAGTGGTCTCTGTACAGCGAAGTTTCCTTGCTGTGTCTGCCTCTAGCTCGTGTTTACCTCTAGCTTTACTGACGATGGTCATTGAGATGAGAAGATCTGCAGTCCGTGTTTGTGGCACAGCCATGAGGGAGAGCAGAGCAAGTGTCTCCAGAGCATGTGAAAGCTTCTTGAGGAGCAGGCACAGGAGCCTGAGAGGGGTCTGTCTGTCCATGTCCTCAGTGGGGCATGGGCTTCCTCCTCACCACGTGTCCCGGGTCCCAGCCAAGCTGTTTGGAAGCATTCCCCAGTGCTGTGATGCCTCCCCAGGGAAGAGCAGTTAGTGTGCTCAGAGGTGAAACCTCTTCTCTTCTCTCAGCTCCTGGGGAGGTGCTTCTTCTATCATATCTGATTTTTGTTGAATCCCATCTTCTGGACTTGGAAGCAGTGCCATGGAGCTGTTCTGGTAGCACCATGTTAAAGTTGTTGTTTCCCCCTGTATTTGCTTTTGCCCAGGAAAGGTGAAGCCAGCTGGAGCAGAGAGCAGGACACGTCTCTTAGTTCCATGTGTTCATCTAGAAACAACCCCACAACCAAACAGGCACATTCAGAACCTCTCCAGCTTTCAGAACAGTTTGGTATTGGGAGCTGTACACGATGGCATCTCCTCAGAGTGCTCCCTGGCCAACCCTCTGCTGTGTGTTCCTCCCACCCTCCCCAGGAGGGAGGCAGCCTGTGGAGCAGAGCCCCGGGCTGCGTGCAGCTCGGGCGGGGCTGGCTGGGCTCCTGCTTCCCTGGCCCGCACGCCCTGTGACCTGTGTTGTGTTGGTGGTTTTCTGACTTTGCACTTAGCACCTTTGTGACGCAATGTTTGAGAAGCAGCTTGGGTTCTTGTTCTTTAAATTCTGGTATGTGTCAAAGCTCTTTGGAGCTGGGCAGCCAAAATAGTTGTGTGTGCTTAGGGAAACGTGGAAAATCTTCAGCCTCCACTATGAATTCTGAGAATTCAATCTTTAAGGAAAAAAAAAGTGGGATATGAAGGTCTTGTTCATGGTTTCCCTGCTTCCACTGGCACCACCTTGTATAATCTTTTCCATAAACAGATCAATTTCCATGTTAATAATAGATTCACTTTTTTAATCCTTCCCAGAACTGCAGCTGCAGGTAGTCTGCTCCACACTCTCGCTGATTCCGAAATTTAGAAACTTGCTTATAACTTCAGCATAAAGGTATTAACTGGTTCTTAGGCCAGCATTGTCCTTCTACTTTGAGTTCTTCTCCCTCCTCATTCTAAGTTATCTCCTTCACCCTGAGGCATGCACTGTTGTGCCCTCACTTCCTCTGCTCTGCCAGTTGGTGGGTGGTGGTTTCTCGTGGGGCATACACTGTCCCCTGCCCATCCTCATCTTTGCTGTGCCTTTTCAGGTGCGGGAAGGTCACTAGGATCAGATTCCATATCCATGCCGAGATCTTGTGCTCTGCACAGTCATGCCAGTATTTCTCCATCCCACTGGAGAGTTTCCTGTGATCTTATCCGTCTCTTTTTCAAACTTGCCATCTTGATACTGCACAAGCATGTACAGATCAAACAGTTCATCTAGGCTTTTCTGCTGAGCTCCACTAGTGGAAAGGGCAAACTGGAAATTCTTGTTAATCATCTCTGAGTGCATGACCTTGCATTTTTTTTATGTCCAGACTTCATCTGGTTTGTGTCATGTCAGTCTGTATGCTTCTGCAGTTCCTTGTGGAAACTCTAGTCCTCCCTGCACTGACAGTTCCTCCTGAAGGAACTCTTTTAGCCTTAACCAGAAAATTAAACAAAATTGAGTTATACAGATGCAGCTGATTCCAGTCTACTCTGCTCAGCCCACTAGCTCACTTACAGACAGTTGTCTAATTACCCAGGAACACACATGCTCAAGTGACCAGAACTAGGGTTCAATGAGTGTGCAAGATATGATTATTCTATTTCTCCTTGCAAAATTATCACACTGATGGTGAATTCACTCTGATGATAGTGCAGGGCTTCTTTTTGATGGAAAGGTAGTGGGAAGGAAAGCAGAACTCTTGTTTTTGAAGATGCTGGATTACTCTGGTAGTCCTTCGTTATTGATCCACGTGTTAGTCTGTATCAGACTGTTCTGGTGGTACTCATATTGCCAGCTCCTGAAGATGCTTGCTGTCATGTCCTGTGCAGCTGGTCTTTCAAAATAAAGAAAAGAAGACAGAAAAACGTCCATATGTGTGAAATAGAAGCAGAAGCAATTCTTTAAGACGTGTTCTCTTGCTTGCTAGCTTCAGAGATGGCTTCTAAGCAAAAGGGATGGGGATTACAGCCCAGGGTGTCTATAGCAGCTTCACTGAAAGACAGGTGAGAAGATGCTCTGTGTACTGAACTGAATCTCTGTCCACTAGGTTTGAGAGCACTGTGCAGGTTGGCAAACTGCAGGACCTTATCAACCGGAGTAAGATGGCGAGGTGTAGAGGACGATTTGTTTGCCCAGTCATTCTGTACAAGGGAAAGGTAAAGCTTCATGGGTTACCTGTCTTAACTTAGAAAATGACCTTTCTCTCTGCCATTTTAACTGTGCAGCCACAAATTCAGTCAGTTATCACCTTTCTGAAGGCTGTAAAATTTGTTCATAGGTACAAGCAGGCAGCCTGAAGTAGGACGTAGCATTTGCTGCATAAATCATCTGTGAGGATTTCAGGCTATTTAGCCCATCACATCCTGAGCATTGCACCAAAGAGCTAATGTTTTCTCCATATGGGTGTCCCTTCTGAAGAACCACAGATCTTTGGTCTTTGAGAGGGGAAGGGCAACTATTGTCACTTTCTGCCCCTTGCTCTTCCCAGCAGTGAGCTCCCTTTGAATAACTTTTCTCTCTAAAGAGAACTTTCCCTTGGTCTGTTCCTTGGGGAAGCAAGACTGCGTAAATGGTCTTATGAATGTGTGGGCTTCTCTGCAAGGGGATCTGTAAGAAAGTGCAATTAGATTCATTTTTATGTGGATTACTTAAACTGTATTGAAGCCCTGGAGGGGTAGTCACATTTAAAATTGTAAGTAGCTTAATTCCATTTTCTTAGTTCAATTTAGAAGCACTGTGGGAATAGCAAAACTCATACCTGTGACAGTTTTAATCTAGCTTGACTGAAGCCACCATGGGCTGCACCTGCTGACCTTTTTCTGCAAGAGTGAACTGCCCGGCGTCGTACTGGGCCCATCCATAATCTCACCCACGGGAGTGTGGAAATAAGGCTCAGGAGGGTATTAGCAGAGCATAGACATTGCTAGCTTGGCAGGAATTGGATGTATTAGTGAATTGGAGAACTGGAGGTGAAAATGTGATTTAAAAACTAGCTACAGATAAAGACAGTTGGGAGTCTGCTGTATTTGGAGCTAAACTCAATCTGGACCAGGGTTGCAGGGGAGGCTGCTGTGAGGTGGTAGCTGTGGGTACCAGGCAGTTCTGTGTAACATGACAGCAGATGGGCCAGAGGCCTGAGAAGGGGAAGGCTCCTGCAGCACGTGTGTTTAATAACAACATCTTCCTCCAGCACATCTGCAGATCAGCGACACTGGCCGGCTGGGGAGAGCTCTATGGGCGCACAGGCTACAACTACATCTTCTCAGGTGAGTGAGGAGCTGTCTGTCACTGCCTGGTAAGGCTGGTGGGTCAGTGCTGGGACAGTGACCTGCACACGAGCACAGGCGCTTCCTGAGAGCCAGTGTGGAGCTCTAGCATGAACCTGCTTGTGTCAGGCACAACAGAGCAAAGACTGAAATCTCCTGTCATTCACAAGCACCGCTCTACAGGCCAGAGTGCCATAAGAAGCAGTGACAAAAGAACTTGAGGCTGAAGAGGGAGTTATGGGAAGCAAGTAAGGCATCCCAAAGGATTGAGGGTACTGACTTCCAAACATCAGGGGTGGGAATAATGGACAGAAGAGGCTAAGAGCCTACTGTTGCTTGGCTAATAATTGGGAATCAAATCCTGCTAATGGTGAGATATACTGGTCTCTAGGGAAAGTTCTTTGGAGAGTATTGGGTGTCTGCAGTGTGGGAGCTGAAACTTGGCTGAGTGAAGCACTGTGTAGCACTGTTGGGGTGTCCATTTGGCTGTCACTAATGGGTTTGACCTGCGTAGGTCCTTTGCAATGACAGGAGAAGAGTGGGCTACAATAGAAAATGGGCTTTTCAGGAAGGGGAAATATGGGGAACTCTGGAGAGTGGGCACCAAACTGTGACCTCTTGGGACATGTGCATGTCTTTCAGATTGGGGATTGAGTTGGTTTACACAAGCTTCAGTTCTTAATGCTTTCCTTGCAGGAGGTTCTGACGATGCTTGGGCAGATGCAGAAGACATTTCAGAGGAAGATCCTGCACTTAGGTTTGTATGCATCACTGGGATGAGGAAATGGGGGTTTGGACCAAAGCTGACTGGCTTAGCCCCTCAGTTCTGTTCTTTCCTAGGCTGGGCTTTGAGTACAGGCTTGAGACCATCACCAAGCTCAGAGTTTTTACTTTCCTTGATTTTGAAAAAGAGTCTTAAGTGCTAATACTGGCTGAAGCCTGTGTAACTGAAGCCTGCTAATCTCTTGCCAGAGGGAAGGGCTGGGACTGGGAATACACAGAGCCATTTTAAAAGGTGTTTGAATCACACAGACATGTTTACTTCACCAAAATTTACATCTCCAGGCTGGAGAAATTGTTCTGTGTCTATGCTTGTTGCAGAACAGAGTGAGACATGGGGGGGGACTGTAAGCACAGGGTTTGCAGTATGAGTTCCTTGCAGGGGCTGACTCTGACCTGTGGAGACAAGGCCTGTGCTGTGCAGTTTACAGCCACAGAACTGCAGCAGCATTTTGCAAAGAACCAGACTCAACGTGGTCAGTCTTCCATGATCATGTTGCTTTGCCTCCTTCTGTCTTGCAGAAATGCAGACTCCCAGCTGTTTGACAAGGTCAGAGGGCACGACATCAAGCTGCTTCGATACCTGTCTGTTCGATATATCTGTGACCTGATGGTGGAAAACAAGAAGGTGAAGTTTGGCTTGAAGTGAGTCTGGGTTCGTTTATTTTTCTGCAGGCTTTGAATTGCAGCTAGTGTAGCAATTCTGTAGCTGTAGTGAATTGCTGTTGGGTGTGCACTCAGCACCCTGGGAGCGGTCCCTGTAAGAGTCCTGCAGCAGGATCAGTCAGCTGAGCCTGTCAAGAGAATCCCAAGGTTTTAGGCCAGAGAAAGCTGTATCAATGGGCAAGATAGCTGCTGTCATCTGCCTTATGACTAGGTTTTCTCTGTAGATCTTGCAGTGATGTGACAGTCACCCCTTCAGAAAGGGGCGAGTAGAGGAGTCCTCTGCTTGTGTTTCTCCTGGTATTTCTTTGAGGAAAACTTCAGTGGTTTGGAGCTCTACCTGTTTATTTGGATGTGTCGAGTAAGTTCTGTCCCTGCTCACTACCAAGTCAAGTCATCATGCAGGAAGGTGTGACAGGCAGCTTTTTGGGTGCTGAGTGAAAAATACCCTACAAATATCTGCTGTTTTCCTGTTGTCCTGTGCAGTGTGACGTCTTCTGAGAAGGTGGACAAAGCTCAACGTTACGCTGATTTCACGCTTCTCTCCATCCCATATCCAGGTATAGGACTGATGTCCAGAGGGACTCCCAAGGGACAGGTGACAATCCGTTTCTGGGGACTGGGAACTACCTCTGGGGGTGTGTGTGGTGAAATGCCTGTGGCTTGCCGAGTGTTTCCTGTGCTCCCTGTGGAGAGAAACTCTTTGAAACTGTGAACAGTGCAACGAATCTGGATGCTCTGGTGGTGTGAGTCAGCATTAGATGCTCTTTGAGGTGGCAAAATAATTCCTCTAATCAATTCAAGTGCAGAGAAAAAGTCCCAGAGGTGGAGCTGGGGTTAAGATGGCCTTTGACACCCCTGCAACTCCAAAGACTACTTGATGCAAAATATGTATCTTGCACTGTGTTATGTAAAACCCCAATCCTTAAGAGTATTTTCTAGTCCTAGTGTTCCAGAGCGCTGCTGTAAGATATCATCAGCTAGGCAGAGCTGTTAAGCTGAGCCCATGAGATGCCACCATTCTAGCCTGTCTCCCTGGCTATATCAGTCCCTGTGCCTAGCAACCACTGCTGGGTCACTTGCTGCACTCTTAACAACGAGCTGAATATTGCTGCCTGCCTGCTGGTGTCAGGCTCGGTGGTGGGATTGGATGTGAGACTGCTGTGCTTGAGGCCTGTCTGCAGGAAAGGGCTCGTCTTTCTCCCTTGCACACAAAGGAAGAGGGAGGAGGCTAAGAAAACAAAACAAAAAAACCCAACCAAACTGTCGTGGATGATCCAAACCCAAAGATTTCCTTGATTGCTAGTTGTTGCCCTTAAACATTTTCTTCATTTTTTATTTTTTCAAAGAAGGTGTATTTCCTTTCATACAGAAATTAGTGACAATTCAGGGAAGCTGCACGAGGCTTTCTATCAAGTTTGCTGTGCAGGTTGCCAAGGTGTACACAAATAGGAGCATTACTGGTTTCCATAGCACGTGGCACAGATATATGTTGCTGCCTTGTGCCTCACCAGACTGGGAAGGTGAGAGAGACAGCATACACTGGCCTTTTATAGGGTTTGTAACAAATGAGGAAGAAGTGACTAGGGTTGAGCTGCAGAGTTGTTACTGCCTGGACATGGGCGTATTGTATTCAGGGATGGTCCTTCCTCTTTTGGCATCTGGGACGGCTGCTTTCTTTTAGAAGTTCTACTTCTGGAGGTAAACCTTATAAAACTGGAAGTTCCCCCTGCAGATGTTGCCTGACTTCAGCAGTGCTGGTCCATAGGGGAATGTTGTCAGTCTGTTAAATCTAAGGTGCACGATTTGAAGGATCAGCAACTGTTCTAGTGACTGGCCAAATTCCATGATATGTTTTTCTTGATGCTTCCAGGTTTACATTGAAAGAATTTCTGTTCTGTAATTTATCTCTAAAGCTATTCTGAGGTCCTGTTGTCAAAGGTGAGGCAGTGTCCAGATATAGAATTGTTTAGGGTGGAAAAAACCTTTAAGATCATCAAGTCCAACCATTAACCCAACACTGCCAAGTCCACCACGAAACCATGTCTCTAAACACCACATCTACACGTCTTTTAAATATGCCCAGGGATGGGGGCTCCCCCACTTCTTTGGACACCCTGGTTCAGGCCTGGAAAACCCTTTTGGTGAAGAAATTTTTCTTAATATCTAACGGAAACCTCCCCTGGCGCAGCTTGAGGCTTTTTCCTCTTGTCCTGTGGCTTGTCACATGGGAGAAGAGACCAACCCCCACCTTGCTCCAGCCCCCTTTCAGGGAGTTGGCAAGAGCAAGAGGGTCTCCCCTGAGCCTCCTTTTCTCCAGGCTAAACAACACCAGTTGCCTCAGCTGCTCCTCACAAGACTTGCGCTGTAGACCCTTCAGCAGCTTTGTTGCCCTTCTTTGCATATGATGCAGCCCCTCAATGTCCTTCTTGGAGTGAGGGGCCCAGCTGAACCCAGGATTCAATATGTGGCCTACCAGTGCCACACCAGTGCCCCCAGTACAGGGGAATGATCCCTGCCCTAGTCCTGCTGGCCATGCTAGTGCTGGTCCAAGCCAGGATGCTGTTGGCTTTCTTGGCCACCTAGGCACACTGCTGGCTCATGTTCAGGTGGCTGTCAACCAGCACCCCCTTCGAGACACTCTTCCCTAAGCCTGTAGCATTGTCTGGGGTTGTGGTAGAAGTGCCTGCACTTGGCCTTGTTGAACCTCATCCCACTGGCCCCAGCCCATTGATCCAGCCCATTCAGATCCCTCTGTAGAGCTCCCTGCCCTCCAGCAGATCAACACTTCCACTCAGCTTGGTGTCATCTGCAGATGTACTGAAGGTGCCTTGATACCCTGGTCCAGATTATTGATAAATTAAGCAGAACAGGTGCCAGTGCTGAGCCCTGGGGAACACCACTTGTGACTGGCCACCAGCCGTTCACAACTGCTCTTTTGCCCAGTCATCCGGACAGATTCGTACCCAGTGAAGAGCAATGACTGTCTAGGGAGAAAGGCTTGGGTTAAAATGGGGTATCTGTAGAAGCTTTTGTGCTCTCCAGTGCAGAAAACCCCAGTTTTCTTTTGACTGCTGGTTGCCATTTGGAGGTGCCAATACTTACTGCTGCAATCTCCCAGTCTTTGCTTTGAGACCTTGTTTAACTGAAGTTAAATCTCAACTGACAGACTGCTTCCTGACTCTGTGTTTTTGAGAACTAGTCCTGTCCTTGCACAAGGATTGCTGGGATTTTTTCGCTATTGGAGTTACTTGTGGCTTGCAGGGTAGGTATCATTGCCCATGTTCAGTGCCTGATGGGGGGTTGTCTTGGTAATAGTGGCACTGTGGCACTGCTGGGGCATACACAGGGTGTTGGGAGAGGTGTTTTGTGTAGCTGCAGGCAGCCGCAGTGCTAATGGTGCTGCTGAGCTGTGACTAAATGACTGCAGTTTGCAGCAGAGACTTCAGAGCGTTGTTTGAGAAGAAGAAAGCCAAAGGACGCACTTCAGGAGGGGAGGGCTTAGGAGAAACCTTGGAAGTGATTATGTACCTGCTTTCTTCAGACATGGCAATTTGTGTGCTTGAAAGAGGGGACTGAAACGTGAAATAACAGCTGCCTCTGACAGAGCTCTTTCTTGTTACCTGCAGCAGATGCCCTGTGAGAGCTGGCTTTCCCCACGGCTCTGCCAGCACTTCCTTTTACTGGTTCCCTCTCTCCAAGTATGTCAGGCTGATGCCTTAGATCTGTGGAAAAGCCGGTGGCCCTGGAAAATGTAGCTCCTTAGTGAAATCTCCTGTTTGGGAAAGAACAAATCCCTCCCTCCATCTCCACGTTTGCTGTGTGTTTGGAGTTTGCCCTTTGCTGTGTGAGTGCTCTGGGTTGTTGGTGCTGGGCGGCCGTGCTGCACACTGTACTGCTGATTACTGCTCTTCTCTTCCCACAGGCAGCAGTTTTGATGGGTTTGGTGCTCTGGAGCCCAGGGCTGCCAGCACTTCTAGTCCCACAGGACACTTCAGTTGTCAAATATCAGTTAGCTGAACAGTTGTTCATTATCTCTTTTTCTCACAGGCTGTGAATTTTTTAAGGAGTACAAAGACCGGGATTATACAGCTGAAGGTCTCATATTTAACTGGAAACAGGTACATGGATGTTACACAACAAAGAGCTTTGGGCTTTTGGGCTTAAGCCTTGCCTCAGAGTTCCTGGACAATGGTGTATGGCATGTGCTTATTTCTGATCACAAGGAGGAAACATAAAACAGATAGTGAATTATTCATTATTAAATTCATAAGTAAAATAAATGAATCATTTTCCCAAAGTCCAGGATGTTTGACCCCTCTCATGGCGGGGGTCTGGGTTGCTTCTGGTTTTGAATTTGCTGTCTTGTTGATAGCCTCTCTTAGCCTGTTCTGATAGCTTTCTAGAGAACTGTTCTCAGTTCTGTCTTCTTATTCTGTCTCCTGCTGAGGGAGATGATTGAGTGGAGCAGCCCTATAGGATTTCAGAAACTAACATGCCTTGTCCCTGACTTTCACCATTGGGAGCACAGAAAAGCTCCTCTTCTCCACTAGTGCTTCTAAGAAGCTATGAGTTAATTCTTACCACTTCAGGTGTTTGCATCTGGAGATGCTTTGCTGAGATGTTTTCTTCTGGATGCACCATTTGATATTTGTTGTTTTGTTTTTCCTGGAACTTGCTGCCTTCAAGTCATGGCTTTTCTCTGACCAGTTGTGTCTGGGTTTTTTTCAGGATTACGTGGATGCTCCATTAAGTATTCCAGTGTCTCTGACCCAATCTCTGAATATTGATTGGAGCGAGTACCAGGTGAGCAGAGCAGGCGTTTCTGTGGGAGGTCAAGAGATTCGTTCAGGAAGGATCAGTAAAGATTTGAAGTCTGACTTGCTCCTCTTGCCCTAGTCTGCCTCACTCCAAACCATCCCAGTGAGAGTGAGGCTACTTACTTGACTGTTCGGAGTGGCAGTGGAAATCCTCCACCCAAAAAGGGGCAGCTGACTGCAATGTCAAATCTTTTTCTGTAGCTCACATAAAGCTTGCAGCCCATTCGGGAGATCTGCTGCTAACCAAGGTGAGGAACGTGCCAGGCAATGGAAAGCAGGGTCACTTGTTCACAGTCTTGGCTCAGCACATGCCTCTGGTGGGCAGACTTCCTTGGCTGTGGCGACTCTTGGGAGAGGTTAGCCTTCCCTCATGTGAGCAGCAGCCAAGTGAGGAGGCACCTTCTTCAGGGGTGTGCAAGGTGCCTGTCCTGTGGCAGAAGGGCAGAAAATCATAACTGATTGTGGCATGTCTCCGTATCACTGTGACAGCATCGCAAGCGATAAATGAACTCTTATGTTTGCCCAGGCCTTAAGGTTTACCTTTGTTCATACCAGGGAGCATCACCTCACACTGCTGCTTGGTCTGCTCCACTTCACACATCCGTGGCCCTGCCATTCCCCCCAGGTTTTGTGATGACTGACGGCGCTGGCGCGTGTTGTGCTCCTCTGCTCTGCGGCGGGTGGCACCACAGAACTAGCAGAGCTCCCTGTGCTGGGCCACTCTTTGTCAGGCAGTGACGTAAACACTGCTGAAGTGCCAGCAGAAGCAGAGCCACAGAAAAGTAGCTCACGGTGTTGACACAGAACTAATGGGACCACGGCTTGTTTATGGCTAGGAGCTTGTTCACTAGAATACTGAGCAGCCAGTATTTTAGAAAGGATATTAAAAATTGAAGAAGGTGTAATAAATAGATGCAGAAATGATCTGAAGACTGGAGAAGGTGCTTTACTTAAAGCTGAAGTTCTCAGTATGTTTAGCTCTCATCATAGAGGTGATGGAGGGTTGACTTGATTAACATGTAAGTACGTTTGCAGACGAAAATACTAATTCTAAACCACTCTTCCATCTGGGGAAGGAAAGCTGCACAGGAAGCAATATCTGCAGTGTGAAATCAGACCTTCAGATAAGGAAAAGCAGCCTTGCATGTTATTTTTGAGGGTGATCTGTTGGAACATGCTGCCAAAGGAGCTGTCACCCCTAATTGAGGTGTTTCTCTGGGCAGAGATGTTGCCAAGTACAAGCTGCAGGCTGTATTTGGGGCAACTGAACAGAACTTTCTGGTTGGTGGTACAGAGAGATCAAGCTGGATGATTAGATGATCCCTTCGGGCATAAGCACAAGATTAGGTTGAACTGGGCAGATAAAAGACTTTGGAAGTATATGTTGTTCTGCCCCAGGCTGAGTGTGTTCCCCATTGCCCTGCTCTTTTGTTGCTGTGCAGGCTTCGTGGCAGAGCAGTGTGTTCTTTGTCTGGCAGTAGTCTTATGTGTGGTCACACACACCTGCTTGCAGGCAGGCACACAGCAAGTGTTCTCTTTCTGGTGGTCAGTTGTCACTTATGCCACTAACACTGTCATCACAGAATCACAGAATGGCTTAGGTTGGAAGGGACCCTAGAGATCATCTAATCCAACCTCCCTGCCATGGGCAGAGGCGCCTCTCAACTAGACTAGGTTGCCCAAGGCCTCATCCAGCCTGGCCTTAAACACCTCCAGGGAGGTGTTTTGTCACAATGAAATGTGTCCCTCTTCTTGGCTTGTCCTTGCCAGTACTGTCTGACTTTTCCCTGGGCTAATTGTGGCTCTGATCAGACTACTAAAATTCCCTGCATCTTCTCACAACACAGTGGTCAAGAGAAGAGTGGCATGCTTGAGCTTATTCTGGTGTTTTTCACCTGTATCTCTTGAAGTCCTGAAGGTCTCTGAGTTCAGAGCCCTCTGTGGTGCTGATGCTACTTGGGCATTACCAGAGGAAACTGGAGCCTGGCTGGAGAAGCAGGGAGTGGGTCAGCCCTCTGCAGGCAGCCTGCTGGGGCCATTTACAAGGGCCACAGAGTTTAGAGCAAAGTGCTGGGGTTGTGGGAACGGGCAGTGGACCCTGGCCTGCTCACCCCATCATGCTGCTTGTGTCCCATACACAGCTGTACCGTGGCTGCTGAGCTGTGTGGTAAAGTGCAGGTGTGCAGGGGGCTGCCAGCATGGGTCAGTGCTCCACGGGTGTTTGCTGGCCCACGTTAGTCCTGCTGAGCGTGGTCTGCTTGGAGCTTTGGGGCTGCAGGCAAGCAGGTCTTGTGCCAGCCAGGCAGACAGCAGAGATGGCCTTTGATTTATTTTATTTTTTCCTCCCTGGTCTCTCATTCCAGAGTGCCTTTTGTAGAGGACAGGGGGATTGATTAGAGCACCAAGGGGAAGTTCTGTCACTCTGAGGAAAGGTCACAGGGTTATTTCTGTGTCACTGTTTTTCTGGATAGAGAAGCCAAGAGCATGGCAGACTCTGAACCACAGAGCAGCCTTTTGTTGCATGCAGACCCTTACCATCAACATTTCTCTTTCTGCAGAGCTGGGACCTCATACAACAGACACAGAACTACCTGAAGCTGCTGATCTCCATCATCAATAGTGATGGTAAGGCAAAGTCCTTGCTCCCACTGGTCTGACTGGAGCAGTCGCTGTCACTGGAGGAACAGCTCATGGTATTAGTGCCACTGTAGATCAGTTCCCAGTAGAGAGAGCTTCACTTCTCTCCTCTCAAAGCAGGATGATGGTCCTAGCAACTCAGGGCTTCAGCTCCCCTCTTGGAGGGGGACTTGCTGATTCCTTGAAAACCCACTCTTCCCAGGGAAGGAGGGATATCTGTGAACTATACCTAATGCTTTATTACTTTAAAGCTGAAAAGGATTTTTTTTACTTGTTCCTCTGCTCAGTGATTCTTGCTGTTACTTTGCTGGATACCTGTGTTTTGTCTCCCCAGCCTGGGGAATCATTAGGTGACTATTTTAGAGCCCTTTCCATCCTCTGTCATCACAGCCACCCCAACACTTCAAAGGGAGTATATTGTCCTGTGTTGGCATCCCATTCCCCGTGGGCACTGTGACTTTGTAGCTAGCACTGTTGGATACAGGGAGCCTCCACCAGCATGGTCATCTACAGACTCTTCTGCAGTAGTTGTGTTTGGGACACAGTGCGAATTTTCTGAGAGGGTGGGAGTTGTCTTGTGTGTGCCTCTGATCAGTGTGTGTAAGTAGGAAGGTTGGTGAGACTGAAAAAGTGTCCAGTTGGAGCAGGTTTCTCCCTGATGCGGGAATAGATTGTGATAGTGGGTAGGTGTATGTTCTGCACAGCAGAGGGACGTTCATGCCCGGTGACTTCATGTCCTGAGCAGCTGTCAGGACCAGGACAGCACATCAGCTGGGGATGCTGACAGCCCAGGACACTCTGAGCAATTTGTTGGCTGCCGTATTCAAGACAAAATGTTCTGGCCTGGTAGCTCAGCTCGGCTCTTGAGCCTGGGCTGTGGGGACGAAGGGTAGCTTGTCTCGATAGATTTGCCATAAAGAAAAGTCACTGCTGGAGTTACAGCATCTGTTTTTCCTTCTCCTGCCTGGATCAGACGACAGCGGGCTCCTGGTGCACTGTATATCCGGCTGGGATCGAACTCCTCTCTTCATCTCCTTACTGCGCCTCTCCTTATGGGCTGTGAGTACCTGGCTGACCTGCTCTGCCTCTGGGGATGGCTGCTTGAAGGATGAGTGA